AATGTTTGTAAATCAATTACTTATTTACACCTTTTTAAACTTGTTTGGAAATTGCAATTGAATATAAACGTAGTGAAGTACAGCATATTCATAATGTATGCTTTTTGAAACAAAGTGATCTGATATCCATTGTCTGCAATCTGTCTCACAATAATGTCTTTGGCAACTGTTTTTTTTTTTTATATCAGCTTAGTTTTATAAAAAAAGAGAGGGAAAGATGGTCAATTTCTTGATAATGGCTATTAATTTGTTATAACTATGGTTGGACTATGATCACATTAGCATATTCATAATGGATGGTTTTGAAACAAAGTGATCTGATATCCATTGTCTGCAATCTGTCTCACAATAATGTCTTTGGCAACTGTATTTTTTTTTTTATATCAGCTTAGTTTTATAAAAAAAAAAAGAAGGGAAAGATGGTCAATTTCTTGATAATGCCTATTAATTTGTTATAACTATGGTTGGACAATGATCACATTAGCATATTCATAATGTATGCTTTTGAAACAAAGTGATCTGATATCCATTGTCTGCAATCTGTCTCACAATAATGTCTTTGGCAACTGTATTTTTTTTTTTATATTAGCTTACTTTTATATAAAAAAGGGGAAAGATGGTCAATTTCTTGATAATGCCTATTAAGAATTTGTTATAACTATGGTTGGACAATGATCACATTAGCATATTCATAATGTATGCTTTTTGAAACAAAGTGATCTGATATCCATTGTCTGCAATCTGTCTCACAATAATGTCTTTGGCAACTGTATTTGTTTTTATATCAGCTTAGTTTTATTTAAAAAAAAAAGGGAAAAGATGGCCAATTTATTGATAATGCCTATTAATTTGTTATAACTATGGTTGGACTATGATCACATTAGCATATATGCCTTGGAAACAACTATACTGATGCTTAAGATTTTATTACCCCTCCAAACTGCTGCATATCTAAATCAGACATGTACGGAATTAATCTAAGTTCGAGTAAGTCACCAACTTGGTAAGCTGGGTTTCGAAATAAATTGGATTTGTGGGTGCCATACGCGCGGGCCAATAACCCTTTTTAACTGTCTGTCTTTTAACTGTAGGCACTGGATACGTTTAAGACGGCAGTTGTATCACCAATTTACTATGTGATGTTTACATCGTTGACCATTTTGGCTAGCACGATCATGTTCAAGGTAATGCTTGCACTTGTTCTGTTAACTTCATTTATTTTCATTAGAAGAATGATAATATTGGACGTCATAATGCAAAATAGTATGCTACACAGCTTTAGTTTTCCTTCATTTGTTCCTCCCATTGGCTTATTTTACCATGCTTTAGATTTTTCATTATCGTATCAAAACAACTTACAAGTATATCTGAATGGTTATCCTTTGTTTCTTGTTGTTGATTTATTTGAGATGCTCTTCTTTTGCCTTTGGATCTTCATATCATTTCTTCTTAAGTACGCACTAGCAGATGGAATAACCCATAAGCATAGAATTTGAGTCTAATTATGATAACTAAATGATGTTTTCTAGATTTGAATACTGCTACTAAGCTTCCGGAGGTAGTGAATGTTGTACGTCTGTCTCTATTTCCTCCTCGAGGAAGAGACACTGCTGGGATGTTGGTTTTCTTGGTTCTCTCAGGACAACTTAGGAGATTCGTATGTGCACCACATTGTCACCAACAGTTACAGATTTCTTTCTTGAGATGCCTTGGCTACTTTTTTTCTTTTCTTTTCTTTCAACTTAATGAATTGCCAGCATTCTTTGTATAGTTCTGCATGGATTCTGGTCATAGATGATGAATCGGTGTTCTTGTAATTGTACTAGCAGGAATGGGATGGGCAGAACCCGACGCAGATCGTCACGGAGATGTGCGGTTTCGTGACGATTCTTTCAGGGACATTCCTGCTTCACAAGACGAAGGACATGGCCGACGGTGGTACGTTATGCTTCTCCGTCGAGGGTGTTGGTGTTGCAGTGCACACCATACTTGATCGAAGAGCTGAAAGCTTGTTTTTTTGTTGATAGGTCTTGCGACATCGCCGTCGCGATTCCACAAGCATGCCGATGAGAACGGTTACACCTACGAAGGAATTCCTCTCAAGTGTCATGAGCCTTCGAGGGCGCCGTGAGGTGAGCCAACCAAGTACGCTCTCAGTCTAGCTTTTAACTACCAGAGAATACAGCTGCCTGCAATCATTGGCTTAAATGGCATCAAACTGGCTCTTTGGATGATACCGAGGAATCAGTGAACGCCATGTCAAGATAGATTCCAAGCTTACTCTAATTCTAGGCATCTGAGTAGGTATTTATTTTTCGTTGAAGGACTGACTGGTAGTAGATAGATAATCCATGTTCTTTTGAGCTACTATACCAGAATTTCTTGGTGGGGGCAATCTCCACCGTGACCTTCCCAATGAATTCTTGGCCTCTGCCACAGAAAGCAGAGATATCCCCACGATTCCTGATGCATGCGAGCGGCTACGCCATTCGTACGCCGACCAGCCAAGAATAACTTCGATTACTATGTTCATTATGGATCACAAATCGTATGACTAATACCCGACTCGGTTCGGCCAGACCCACTTGCTTGGATGAGTCCAAATTAAGTGTCTCACAGAGCGTGGACCGCTCCAAACCCCTCTCACCACCTCCCCTTTATCGACCCGCCCCTTCGTAAAGCAAATCTTGTACTCAAACCCCCCACATGAATTCCTCCGGTGGGGAATCGACGTCTCCTTTAGACCCACCTTTTTCTCCTTTAGGTTATACACATGTTGGTCTAGAAACTCCCTACGTTTGTAGTCGTCGTTGATGATGTCCGATTCGATCCGCTTCCAGGTGCAAAGAATCAGGAAACTTGAAGTGACCAATTTGACTTAGAACTTATCGATATTGTTTGATTCCTGACACGATGACGAGTGGGGGAGTCGGTCGGGGCTATCTGGACGAACCAGATTGAACCATCATGTGATAGGCATTATTGAGGTGTTTTTGAACTGCTTTGGAACGACAGGCTGTTCCAAAGAGACGAAAATGGAGATAAGGATCCCGGAGATGAATTTTTATACGGAGACTGGAGCAACACAGGTGTTGTATAGTCACCAACAGTCCTTTTTGTCTACGTCGTATCATATTACCCAAAAGATGGGTCCACCAACACACGGGTTGTCATACTAAGATGTCCAGGTGTTCCGAACACAGAAGAAGAAGAAGATGATGATGATGTTGTATAAAGATTCTCAGCCATTACGTGTACTCATCCAAATTAAATCAGTGATTCTGCAGAGATCGGATTGCTTACTTTAATCGTATTATAAAACCACTGAGACGACTTTTAATTGCCTACATATTGTCTCTGAAGTCAATATGTAGGTAGGCACACTACCATACAGTGATTGACTCTTTCTTAGGACTCGTCTCCCGTGGGAGTGGGATTCGATTTATGTATCCCTTCCGAGGAACGGCCACAGTAAACGACGGCAGTACAATAGTGACAAAGCGTAGAGAGACTTGGCAGCTTCTGCGGCCTATCATCTTAGTAACTAGTCTTAAATGGCCGGTAGAGATTGAGGTCGGTGACGACTCCGGCGACGGACCCGATGGCTGCGGCGATGCTGACCGCGAGGCAGGCTAAGCTTAGCATTTGCAGGCACACCCACCTGGTGCTCCACCTGGGGATCCTCTGCCGCACAATGTACATCTCCACCGGGAAGTAGACGGTCAGCGGCCAGAAGCCGAGCGCGCCGAGCAGGCCCACCACGTCGTTGAAGAAGGGTAGCAGCATCGAGATGACGGTGGTCAGCACCACGAAGGAGGAGCGCCACACCAGGCGGAAGAGGCTGAGGTTGTAGCGCCGGGTCGGGGTGAGGGGGACCGCGATCTCCTTGGCGATGAAGGTGGACTCCGGCCACGTCTTGACCGCCCACTTCTCGATGAAGGCGAAGAGGGGCTGGCAGAAGACCTGGTAGGCGCCGACCAGGTGGACGACGATGGCGGCGTTGGCGATGTTGAGGAGCCAGTAGGGGTTGTAGAAGCCGAAGCCGGTGAGGAGGTTGCCGGGCGCCGAGTCGCCGAACGCGGCGTAGCCCATGCACCCGCACAGCATGTAGAAGAGCGTGGTCACGACGATGCTCAGTAGCGACGCCTTCTTCATCACCTTCGCCTCCGACGGCGGTGGGGCTCTGATGGTGTCCTGAAGGAACGACAGCATGCCAGTGAAACCAAGGAACAGTTGCAAGATCAAAGTCGATCGATCGATCGATCGATTTAGCTCGCTAGACAGCCGAAACACACCTGGATTTCGATGAGCACGACCGAGAAGGAATAGGCGAAGGCAATGTCGCCCAAGGCCTTCAGGCTGCGCCATATCTTCTGTGTAGGGGAGATGACGCCGATGCTGATTCCGGTAAGGCTGCCTTTGAAGCTTTTGTTGCCTGTATGGAGTGAGACGAAAGCATGACAGAAAGAGAAGGATTAGGATGCTTCAACCGAGTCGGTCATAGGAGTCCGGTGATGGAGGCGCACCGATGACTTGGACGATGCCGAGGGCGAGGCCGATGGACGAGTAGGTGAAGGACATGACCGCGGCGACGATGGAGAGCCACCATATCTGATCGAAGTCGGGGATTTGCGACAAAAAAATCTCCGCGACGCCGAACATGATCATGTAAGGATTGCTAGAGGTGAGGCATGGGTTCTTGTGCCCTTTCTCGTGGAAGCAATCGGACCTCTTGATCGCCCTGTTTCCCGCAGCAAAAACAGAGCCACTCGTTTAGAATGAGAAAGAAAGAAGCTTTCTCCCGGAACAAGAGTGAAAGCTCGTATTGTTTGCACCCACTCACATCATGCTAATGGAAGCGGCTATGGTGTAGCCAATGGCGACGCCGAAGAGGTTGGCGTACTGGATGAATCCACACAGCTTGACCTTTAGCCCACCTGTGTTGTTCGAGGCAAGAAGGGGAGGTAAGCACTCGGTCTACAACTGGCGGAAAGATGTCACCTTGGCCATGTCGTTTGCGCGAACTCACCGAGGTACGCGTGGACCGCATCCGTGTAGTTGTAGTTGCGCTTCCCGTTGATGGGGTCGCCGGATCGGTAGCAGTCAGCGAGCAGAGTGGAGGTGTAGTACGTGACGAACGAGAAGAGGAACATGACCACCGGGCCGGCGACCCAGCCGAGCTGCGCTATGGTCCAGGCCAACGACAGCACGCCGGACCCGATCACCGCCGTGACGATGTGGGCGGTGGCCGTCCACACGGTCCCTGAAACCAAGGAAAAGCCCAAAACTTCCCTCCTTCAGACGACGAAAGCAAGAATCTAGAGCGAAGAAGAAGCAAGAAGTTGACTAAAAAAACCAGTTTCGATCTTTACCGGTCCTCTTGAGCCGCCCATCGTCATCGTAGCTCTTGGTGGCCCCCTGGAGCTGATGCTCATGGCCGAGCTCAACCGAGACATCCAAGGGAGTAAAAGCCGGTGGTTGGTAACCCATCTTGCGTCCAAAAACAGAGAAAACACAGCAAAGGTGAGACCTTTTTGCCTCACTATTCTAATGGCAGCAGAGAGAGAGAGAGAGAGAGAGAGAGAGAGAGAGAGAGGTGGAAGCTCCGGCACAAAGAAGTCACCTCTCCGTCGTAAAAAAACGATCTTTTCTCCAGAAAAAGAGACAACTAAAGGAGAAACAAGCAAAAAGTGGCTCAGTTCGTGCTACAAAACCGAGGCAATTACTACCGAGAAGAAGGAACAGAGGAGGTGTGGAAGGCAGTGAGGGAGAGTAGGTTGTTGGGTCGCGGCTTTATATAGAGGTGGGAAGGCAGCGAGAAGAATCTATCGATAGAAGCACCAAAGGACAGCGTGCCGATTGCCACGCTTTGACGAGGAGGTCAACGACGCGGCGTCGACCCCCAACCTCCACTACCACTCTCTACTCTGTATCAGAGCCTAATCTCTCCCTCTACCTGCTGCGAGCACCCCTTAATGCGTCCACCACTGTTTCTATCTCTTCCCCGTTAAATCTCTTGCTTCCGACCTTTTCTTCCTCCTCGACAACGATGCATGCATGCAAGCACCAAACTAGAGGCACAAATTGAATGGAGAAAAAGTGTCCAGAGATCTCTTGCCTTGTGCATCAACTTCACCGTGTTTCTTCAGTTGCTGCTGCTCTGAAAGCACAAGGGAGTTTAATGAAGGAAGAGAGGAGAAGTGATAGGACTGCTTAATATATAGAGGAGAATGAGAGAGCGAGGGAGAGAGAGAGAGGTCATTAATGGCTCTTCTTGTTGAGGGATTGTGTGTTTCTGATAAGAAAGATGCCATTGCCTGAGGTGTTAAAATGATAGTAGTAATGATAACAGTAACAATAACAAAAATGATGGTAGATAAAGCAATTAATTTGAGTGGATCCTTCTTCTTATTTGATGGAATCCGCTATTTTGATGCATTAATGAAATTGAAATCAGGATATTTTATTTTTCTTCCTTTTTGTTCTATTTTTCTGGAGATTTTTCTTATATCATAAAAAACAATTGTTTTTTTACCACGACACAACTGTTGGTGTGTGGCCCGCTCTGGTACTCGCATGGCAATTCGGAGGGGATGTGGGGCCCATGCGGGACTCACAAACCTAGTCCTCGTCCATCAGGGTAGGTAACGCGGGTACGAAAGGCTAGAATTCTCTACTCGTGCAAAACGTATGGTATAATTAGCCGACGCGTTGACCTTACGCCGCGTTGGGTGTCCAGATGTGGGTCCCGCGGTCGGAGGTCAAGAATCGATTCTTTGGCGGAGGTAAAGACAAGGGGTTGGCGTATCGACGTCGCTGTCCGTGGACACTGCACTTGGCGCCGCGAGGTCTATGATGTGATTGGACCCTTTCTTTACCTACTGCTTTAGCTAATCCTCCCTTAATATATGCGATTAGGTTTAGTGGCCTGACTATTAAGGTTTTCCACAAATATTTATTCTCTTTAATCTATTTAATAGATTTTCCATAAACATTAATGTCTCAACGAAACACCGTCAATATCAATCCCGAAACATCATCATAATCATCATCATCGTATTTTAATTTAATATTTATCGAACATTTTTCTACCACTTTTAGGTTTTATTGAAGCACTAAAGTAAGCAGCTAATTCATGGCATAAAGGCATGTGATTTATCTCTAACACAGCAGCCATCTCACATCCACTTAATCTTTGTAGTGAGTGGTGCAACAGTGAAAGGCATCACTTTGCTCTTTGCCTTTACCAACAATCTTACTCCCATTTGTGTAAGAGATGTTTATCTGCATGCTAAACTCATGTTTTGATGCTAAAGCAACCTGCAAAGCCTAATTGGTGCAATGCAATACATCTCAGAAACATCTTCTTGAAGAGAGTAATCACAAATCTACATACACTACATAATTCACTAGATTGTCCAAGATAAATCATAAGCTGCTTGCAAGTTGTTTATATTCTCTCATACAAATCCAATCATGGAGAGGATAAAAAATACTGTTCAAACCATCCAAGCATTTGTTCAGAAATAGAGGTTTGATGATGCCACAAGTCAAAAAGGTGTTCAGATATTCTGATCTACTGTGCTTGAAAGTAACCATAGGAATCATTTGACCACTGTTTTGTTCATTATGGTAAGTAGTCATCAAACTTTTGGACATCCTGTTAAGAACATTAGTTGGAACACTTTGATTGATGGTTCCCTCATGTCCATCTCCTGCTATGAAATTATCTGAAACTATGTTAGAGGGGGGAATCACTCTCTTAAACAACTAGTTTTTGTAGATCTCATTGTCAAGCATCAATCATCCTTATCTGAACAAAGATCAAATGTTTGTGCAAGAGAAGATAAATGTGTAGCTGCTGACAAGTTGCCAGTATTTCTTCAGAACTCAACAACTGAGCCAGCCAGTAGAGGATGCTACCAACTTTGCTAACCAAACCTCAATATTTATGATCCAAGTTCAATGAGGGGTGCTGAATAATGTTATGATCTGGGAGCTTAAAGTTTATTCATGTCATTAGACTTTGGATGGCCCGCAGCACATCATTGACAAGATTGTCAAGATAACATAAGCATGAAATTGAAGTTGTGCACTCATAGAAGAACACATCAACAGGAGATGGAAGTGTAAGCAGCTATTCAAGACTAATTTGATTGACTGCTTTTTCAGCTCTCAGTTTGTCATGGATTTGTGCAGAATAAAATAGAGGTTGGATATGAGGTGGGGGATGCCAAAGTTCAAAAGGGGCATCAGTTCTTCTGAACTAACTATGCTTGAAAGCCACAGAGAAGGAATCATGCACTACCTTTGCTTTCACTCTGCAATCCCTGTCAAGAATATGAAGAAGAGTTTACTATGAAGAAGGAAGAAGCAAATGCAAAGAGTTAAAACGTATCTAAATTTTTCTGATGCAACACACCGTATAAGGAATTTTAAGCTCTTTATTGTCTTTGAAGAGGTATAATTAACATTGAAAATTTGTATCTTCCACCGGATTTTTCTTAAGTGGTTATTTTTTCGAACTTAAGAAGGAAAATATAGATTTTTTGAGAAAAAAATATCGGAAGACGTTGTGGTGAATGCCGATGAAGTATGAGTTAACCCAATTTAATTTGGATGTATATGCATAAGGAGTCTGTTGGACCGAACGAGGGATTCAGATATTCATTGGATGATTGATCGATATAAAGACCGAAGTGAAGTGTGGTATTCGTCGAGATCCCTTCGATGCTATTATTAATTTTGAATAAACAGTAATCTCTATTACCATAAGACTTTTATAATATATTTAACCTATTTTTTTAGTATTTATCTCATGTCCTTACGTTGATTAGGCTGTCATAGATTGTTTATTGGCACCAATATTGCCCCTTTCAAGTGATGAATAACCTAAAATAACATTGTCCCACAAAATCTCATACATGCATGCAGGACATTAGTTTATGATCATGTAGTAAATAGAACTTAGATTACATTCTATAAGCTAGCATGCATTATGCATACTGAAGACCTACGGAAAAAGAGAATTTGTGGGAAAAGAACATAAGAAACATTACTGAAATGCGGCAAGCAATATTAGACAAAATTCCTTTAGTTGTCCAAAGTGATAATGCTCAACCAAGGAAGAACATAGGAAGAAGCAACAACAACAACAAAAAGGAACAGTAAGAGGTTGCTCTCACATAACTTAGATGATTGGATCAACTATCTATGATATTGATGGAGTCCAAGCAAGGAAAAATAGCTCTGATGTGGATAAGCATGCAACACGAGAGGTAGAAATTGTGAATTATGATCTCAATTGCCATGTGCACAAGAGTAATTATCTGATGAAAAAAGGCTTCCAAACTGTGATTTGATGACCTATCACCATCAAGTCATGTCCTTAATTAAGTGGTCAATAACCTGAACCAATATGTAAGTGTTATGTCAGAGCACATGGAAGAAGATAAAACATGTGTAGTTTTGATATATTAGAATACGATTAAGAAACTATTTGTAGTTTTGAGATTGAATCAGAAAGGTAGCCATTTTTTTTATTGAAGTATATGATTGGAAGTAGGTTTTGATATCAAAGATAACATAATAATATGATGTTAGCATCAAGTTATCAATTATATATATATATATATATATATATATATATATATATATATATATATATATATATATATATATATATATATATATATATA